AAAAAAAAAAAAAAAAAAAAAAAAAAAAAAAAAAAAAAAAAAAAAAGTATATTTCTGGTTTTCCCTTTACCCAGAAGTCCCTGAGTCCTGGAATGTTCTACAGTCTTGATGGGTTCCCTTCTCCTGTCATTAGCCCCCAGTTTGTTTTCTAATCCCTCTACCACATCTTCCTCCTTCCCTTGCTCTTTGACCAGTCTGTCGCTTCTGCTTGTTCCTCCTGCTCCCTGAATGCCACTTCCTGCTCTCTGGATATTACCTCCCTGTCCCCAAGTGAGAGCGTCTTTTCCTCTTGGCTATGTGTCACCTGAAGACAGCTCTCTATGGTAACCATCTCTCTGCCTTCCTCGGAACTTAGTGCTCCTTCATAACCCATGGTGATTAGTAGCAAGCCCTGTGGAAGGAATGAAGGATGCAGCGTGAAAGCCTGGAGGCTTCCAGCCCATGGGCGTTTGCCTTCTTTAGTCTAGCCACAAACTAAGCGGCAGCTATGGGTTTAGCATGGGTTGGAGCTCTGCCTCCCATCTCCGCTCTTTTATTGGACTTGCTGTATCATGGCTTGCTGTTTGTTCACTCAAGCATGAGAAGACAAGTTTTGGATTCTTCTTTCTTCTCTTTCGAAAGTGGATTCCCCAGGCAGGGTGGCACGTGCTGCCCTTGGTCTGCAGCTTTGAGGATGCTCTTTAGAAAAATCTGCAGGGAGGCTTAGGAGACCACACAAAGCTTTATCTTCTGTAGGCATCTGACCTTTAATGCAACCAAGGATTCTTCAGGAAGGAAGTGAGCGAGATATTCCTAACCAAGCTTGCAGCCCCACTAGCACCCTAGAACTTCAAGCAGAAGTAAAACCAGACATTTCTTCAGAAGTGGACCCAATAGCTAGAGTCACAGAATGTTGTGGAGACCCAAGTTCCAGTTACAGAAAAGTGATACCTATCTGCTCGTTGCCTAGGCAGCAAGGCCTGAAATCTTCCAGTCACAGGACTCTAGGAGACAGCGAGGAAAGCGGGATTTCATGAGCAGACTTGAGGAAAATTAACTCACCACTTAAACAGCTTGGAAGAGATACAAATGGAAGAAAGGGGCTGGAGAGATGGCTCAGCAGTTAAGAGCACTGGCTCCTCTTCCAGGGGCCCAGGGTTCAATTCCCAGCAGCCATGTGGTAGCTCATAACCATCTATAACTCCAGACCCAGGGAATTTGATGTCCTCTTCTGGCCTCGTTAGGCACTGTGTGCATGGGATAACACAGACATACACTTGGGCAAAACACCCACACACATAATAAATAAATGAAATTTTAGAAAAGAGATACAGACTATTACAAAGCTTATTTGATTCTTTCCATTTAGACACCAGAGCTCCTGCAGGGCAGGGACAAGCATTCTTCCACAGGTTACATCAGGGGAGGCTCCTTAGCACCCCTGTGCTATGGAGGGAAGTCAGTGAAGGGCTGGAGGGGCGTCCAAGGATGAGATGTGTCTAGGATATTTGTAATTTTTTTTAAATGCTAAAAAGAATCTGCCCTGCCAAAGGGGAAACTGGGGGTGAATATCGGGCTGGTGTGGTTAATGTAAAAGGTCAGCCGAGTCCCGTATCAGTCTGTATGTATGTGTGTGCACGTTAGTGTGAGGGAGTTATCTACAGACGTGCAGGCGAATTACATGTATGAGTACAGGCACGCACGTGTACACATGCTTGTCGAGGCCAGAGGACAACACTGGGGTTCACTCTTCGGTGCTGTCTATTGTTTTCTCCAGACAATCTCTCATTAGCCTGGAATTCACCAAGTAGGCTAGACTGGTGATGGGCTAGCCTCACCTCCGCTGCCCTCCGCTGCCCCACTCCCACTGGCCCCCAGAGTTTGGATTACAAATGTGTACCCCCTTGCTAGGTTTTTAATGTGGAATCTGGGAGTCTAATTCGGTTATGATGCCTACGAGATATGCCTGATTTTGCCTTTGCGAACTGATTCCTTGACACACGTGTCCATTCTAGAACATACTGATTGAGTTGCCTGCAGAGTTCCTTCTCTGCCTTATTAAGTGCTCTCGGGGGCAGAGAGCATGGCAGGGGAGACAGAAAAGGGAGCACTTGCAAACCCGGGATCACGTGTTCCTCCCCTGGCAGTCCACTTAAATACCCTGGCATGCTGGGATTTGGAGTCCAGACCCGTGCAACTCCCAGGCCAGGGGGCTGGGATGGATACCAGGGGCTAGAGTAACGCTCCCAACTTAACGGAACCCACCTACAAGGCTCATTTTAACTTGATCACCTCTTTATGGGCCTTATCTCCAATTACAGTACCACTCTGAGGGACTGACAGTTAAAACGTCAACCTATGAATTTGGGGAGACTATCCTCCAACCCATAAGCAGATTCGAGGAAGCTTTTTTTTTCCCGTCCTAGCCCCAGGCTGCCAGCAGTTAGCGGGTCCCTGCAGTTCTATGCCGTTGAACTGGGCTTCTAACCTCACCATGGCTGCTGTTTTGTTTGTTCTGGGCCACAGGGAGAACCAACGCCGACGTGATGAGTGCGCTGTCCCAGGGCTACCGGATGCCACGCATGGAGAACTGCCCAGATGAGCTCTACGACATCATGAAGATGTGCTGGAAAGAAAAGGCGGAGGAGAGGCCGACGTTTGACTACCTCCAGAGCGTCCTGGATGACTTCTACACCGCCACGGAAGGGCAGTACCAGCAGCAGCCGTAGTGGGCACGGAGTCCTGCCCCTTCTAATTAGCAGGAAAAGCAGCCTTCGGGCGCAGCCAATCATCTCGCGCCAGGACCCTCTGTGTTCCTGGTTCCTGACGGACAGGCCAGATTAACTCAGGAAGAACACCCTGGACTTGAGATGCTGTTTCTTACACGGGTGGTCACTGCTCGGTGGGACCACAGGCAGAATACAAACACCCACCCGCTCCCTCCAATACGCACCGCGCCGGCTCTACACGTGACTCCGGCTCAGAGACTGTCGGCCACAAATTTCCAGATGCAGCAGGAACTAAACTCACTTAGCAAAAATAACCTCATGCACAAGCAGATGTTCCCTGAGCTCCTCCATGCTTTGTCTTACTTCTTTAAAAACTACTAATACAGCCTGTTAGGTTTTACACGTGAAGCCATCTTTTCTAACTTTGACTGTTTTCGCTGTGGAGATTTCATTCCTCCCCACCTCCGCACCCCGTCACCCCCAGCCCACCCCACCCCCACTCCAGTCTGAGACTGTTAAACATTTTCCTTTGTGGTAAGGCGGACGGCCGGGCGGGAGGTAGCACCCGCTTGCCCTGCAGGAGCATCATGTATGGGCAGGCCGAGACCACTGCGGAACTGGGGCCCTTTGGAGCTACACCACCACCCAGACCTCCCAGTGACGGCAGGAGAGTTCTGCCCTCTGGGGAAATGTTTTTAATGGTCTGGCTATTTCAATTATAGTATTCTCTAAAGGCTTTTCTGACAGGGTCCTTTGGGAGAACTTTGACGTAAGCGTAAGAATCTTTACAAGGCCTTCCAAAAAACGTAAAGTCTGTCTTTGACTGCCTCAAATGACTTGAACATTTTATGAATCATACATTTTAGCTGTACTCTAAGAAGTGAAAAAATGCCATGTTTGGGACTATTTTTGTGATTCTTTTCTCTTTTCTGAATTGTGTAAGATGTGTGAGAGACTATTTACACCTGCAGGTAGGAAGGAGGTGGCCACGGAGAAGCCTCCAGCAGGACCCGAGAAGCTTTGTTACCCACCTGGGTATTGCACTGTAAACTCCAGTTGGAAACCGCTGTGTCCGCCCCTTTCACTTACGCTGTTGTGTACATACTTAATAATTCTATTTTTGATTTTATTTTAATACACTCAATAACATCTTGAGGGTTTTTGTCTCGTGTTTCAACTTGAGGTTTTCGACTCTTGTCAGTGTATAAACAGGAGCCGGTTGGTGGGGAAAGGCAGGAAGAAATTCTGTACAGTCGGTCACATGGCACGAGCTTGCGGAGGTCCCTCCGTGGCTGGAGCATTTCAGGGTGGAGGACTGAGGAGTCCATGGCCCGGGTGCCCGAGGGTCTGCTTTCTAACAGGCTTTGCAGGTATGTTAGAACTTTAATTTGTCTGTTTACTTTAGCTGGATGCCTAGGAGAAGGAGTTAAATATTCTAATTTTCCTTCAACTTTAATTTGTCTATTTCCTGATTTTTAAAATAATATCTTTTCAAAGTATTCTCAAGCCCTTCGTTTCCAAGTGCCCTGTTTACAAACATTGCCCGTGTCCCTTTGGTCACATGATCTACAACAGCAGGTTCTCTAACGCCCTTCCCTACACGCGCTGATTTCAGAACTCGCCTGTGGGCTCCAATTTATTTCATGGAAAGGAAGTGCAAAGAGTCCCTAAAGCTAAAGACAGCTCTTGCAAGTTGCTAAGAATTCATTTTCCTTGCCTTTTGCTCTCCGTTCTGCTTCCATTTTCCACTTGGCGTCTCTCCTCCACCCAGCAGCTGATCCTTTCTCCCACGTGCCGGCTTCCTCGGGAGCCATCAGGGGTACCGGGCAACAGCTGGGGAGATTGCTCAGTGGGTAACATGCTTGCTAAGCAAGTCTGAGGACCTGCATTCAGATCCCAGAACCTTGTAAAAGGAAGGCATTTTCTACAATTGCAGGGTTCCTACTGGGAGGTGGGAGCCAGGGATGGGAAAGTCCCCAAAAGCTTAATGTTCAGCTAGTCCGGCACATACAGCAACAAACAAGAGACTCTGGTTAAGGTAAAAAGTGAAGACTATTACCCGGTCTTGACCCCTGGTCACACACATGTGCACGCACATACTGTACGCACACACAGGTTAAGAAAACAAACAACAACAAAAGGAGTGGCCGCTTTTTCTATAGTCACATAGTGGCTACATCAGTGGCAAAGAAACAGTTACAATTATAAACTTGTTTCCACCCTCTACCCCTTCATAAATGGCATCCAAGGGCCACAGCTGCTAAAATGTTTGCGGTGGGGAATGACCCTGCCCAACTCAACTGTGCTAAAGGGCATGCTCACCTCAATGTTGACGGCCAGCCCCCTGTTTGCATCCCCAGCCCCCACAGCCAGCTGGTGACCGCCTTCCATCTTCTCAGCAGAAAGTCACCCGGGTGGGGCTGCTTTCCACCTTCCCCGGTGTCTTCGCCTCCTCGTTCCTTTTGCCCAGTGGAAAAGCAGTTCCACATTTTTACTTCATAAACCTTTTAGGTTCAGTGCAGGTAAGCCTGGCTATTTTTGCTGAAGGAAATGTTTATTCTAAGCGCACTCACCCATCCTGTACCTGTACTCAAGGGCTTTGGTTTGTTTGTTTGTTTTAACCTTTCGCACTTTATCAGGATTTTCTCCAGCTCACACAACAGGGATCGGGTGCATTCAACACTGAAGGACTAAACTGGGGTTTTGTTTGCCTGTTTATTTGTTTGTTTTCCTTGTTATTTCCTTATGAGATAAACTGAGAACAGCAAACTTTAACTACTAGGCCACCGAGAGCACCTACCACATGAAATCAAATGATTAGGACCCTTCTTAGCAGATTGGCTGTGATTCGGTTAGATGTTCTGATTGGCAAGGGTATAAATCTCAAAGTGATCCACTAAAGTCCACATAGACACGAGGAGAAATTTCCCTAAGTATTTTTTTATTATATGTATGAAATACCATGCAGGCAAGGTTTTGAGGCTAGCCTGGGCTACTGTCGTAGTTAGGGATTCTGTTGCTGTGAAGAGACAACATGCTCACAGCAACTCTATAAAGGAAAACATTCAATTGGGGCTGGCTTACAGTTCAGAGGTTCGGGCCATTACCATCATGGTGGGAAGCATGGCGGCGTGCAGGCAGACATGGATGGTGCTGGAGAGGAACTGAGTTCTACATCTGGATCTGCTGGCGGTGGGAAGGAAGAGTGAGCTACTGGGCCCAGGTTGAGCTTCTGAAACCTCAAAACCCAGCCTCAGTGACGTGATTCTTTCAACAAGGCCACATTTCCTGATAGTGTCACTCCCTATGGGCCTATGGGGGCCATTTTATTCAAACCACCACAATGTCATATTGAGATTCGCAAAGCTAATAAAATGATCATGTAACAATTAAATTCACCAATGCACTTGGAAACACAATCTCTAGCTTTCAAATTAAATGTTTTGCTAGTATTTCTGGTTCATTTTATGAGGGAGGAGGTATTAAAACTGGTAACATTTTGATTCAGCAAGTTATAGGCTGCTATGTGGAAAGATTTCCAATTTAGTTTCCTATGCCTTTGATGTGTGTATGTGTGTGAGAAAGAGATGTGGGGACAAGTGCAGGATTGTGTGTTGAGACCAGGGGACAGCTCTGTGGTGTCTTTTTTTCACCTTTTGTAGGTCCTAGCGATGTAATCAGGCCATCAAGTGTGCATCATCAGGCCGCAGGAAACTTTACCCACCTAGGTGCCCACTGACCCTAACTTCCTGTGCTCTTTTGAGTCTGTTAAATACTTCAGATAGACATGCAAAAAGTACCACAGAGTTCCTGGGGTGGCCACAATGTGGTAGCACTTTCCTGAGTGCGAAAACGATGGTAGCAATCTCCATGGTGATAATCTCTAGGTTGTTGGGAAGACGTTAGGAATAATCTAGATTGCCGAGTATAGTCTTTTTTTTTTTTTTTTTTTTTTTTTGGTTTTTTCGAGACAGGGTTTCTCTGTGGTTTTGGAGCCTGTCCTGGAACTAGCTCTTGTAGACCAGGCTGGTCTCAAACTCACAAAGATCTGCCTGCCTCTGCCTCCCGAGTGCTGGGATTAAAGGCGTGCGCCACCACTGCCCGGCCCGAGTATAGTCTTAATATAGAGCTAGAGCTATCTGCACGAGAGATGCCAGGTCCCAAAGCAAGAAGGAAACTGGCTTGGCGGCGGTGGCGCACACCTTTAATCCCAGCACTCGGGAGGCAGAGGCAGGCAGATCTTTGTGAGTTTGAGACCAGCCTGGTCTACAAAGCAAGTTCCAGGACAGCCAGGGCTTTTACACTGAGAAACCCTGTCTTGAAAAATAAATAAATAAATAAATAATTTTAAGTTCTATTTACTTTTTAGTTTTATCACTTAGTGGCTGCCACTAGGGTTTTTTTTTTAAAGGATTAATATAATTAATATGCTGAATATTTGCTGGTAAAACCTCAGTGAGCACTAAGAAACTTTTAGTCAAATAAGGCATTTCTGTGGGGAAGAAGTTCCTAGACACTCCCAACAGGTGGGATGAGGGCTATGAATAGATTCAGATTGGTTTTCGCCACCAGGTGAGTTCCTTGACCACCTTTTTGTTTGGGGGTGTGGAGATCTCGGAACTGTGGACGGAGGCACGGGCCTGTTCTCAGTGGTCTGAGGAATGCAGGAGCTTTAGTGTCGGTGCCAGACACCGGCTGCTCGAAATCCTCCTGAAGCAGCCATTTAGTTACACTCCTCTGAAACAATACATTCTGATTAATATAACGGCACCATGGGACGTTTGCTCCGTAGTAGTTCAGTGGGGGAATCGTGGTATGGACTGAGTACAACAAGCTTTCTGTGGGAGCCACCGTAAAGTGCAGGGCCAGGTAACAAAGGAGCTCGAAAGGACTGTACAGAGACAGGCTTTCTGTCACCTCGAATCGGGCCATGGGAGAGTGGTTGTTGTGTGCCGAATGTGTGATGGCTGTCCTGAGATCGTAACTGCCCAGAATGGAACTCAGGTGCGTGATCGGATTTTCCCAAAGGGGCAGGAAACCATTGGGAGTGACAGAGCAGACAGCCCTTGATCACATGAGATAGAACACGGAAATCTTTTTAAGCTGTTTGCCTCATTGTTTTGAATTGCTTATGTTAAAAAGGTATTGAAGTGATCACCCCTAGTCTCTTCCTACCAGCCGGATCTCTTTGGGCCAAGGGCGGTTATTCAGCCCTGTTTCAGCAGCCACTTCCCTGTCGAAGAAACCATTCATGAGGGACAGCAACCTTTCGCCTTAAGTTGCCTGTTTACTGTTGACAAGCACAGCAATGGCAAGATAGAACAAGAAAACCGTTAGAAAAAGAGACAAAAGTAGACATAAAGTGTGAGGACCATTCTGAGGGGAATGAAGCCCTGAGAAAGGGTTTCCCTGAAACATGTGGCGTGGCCAAAGGAGGCTTCAAAGATAAGCTACAGGCAGTGATGCTGCAGCAAGAAGAGGCGTGGCAGGGGGTGGGGCACAGCAGGGGCTGATGCTGCAGCCACAGGAGGCACAGCAGGGGACGAGGCACATCGAAGGCTGGGCTCCTGCCTTCCAGAGGAGCATATGCAGAACTTCTGGGCAGGTTCATCACAATAGGTCACTAGGCTCCACACAGCTCAGGCAGCATTCTAGGGTGGACCACATTGAGACCCACTGCATGGCAGGTGCTTGGAAGTCAAGAAATCTGGATCAGGCCAGGTCTCAGGGAAAAGCATCAAAAGTGAGGGGCAGGAGCTAAAGAGATGGCTCAGTGGTTAAGAGCATTAGTTGCTCTTCCAGAAGACCCAGGTTTAACTCCCAGCACCCACAAAGAAGCTCACAGCTGTCTGTAACTCTCAAAAGGTTGCTAGGAAACCCTTTCCCCTCCTCTTCTCACTCTCTTTTGACAAGTAAGATTATAGGATAGCTCCAGAGGGGCCTTGGATGGAATTTAAATCTGAAAAAATAAAGCCAGAGACCACTACAGCTGTGCACCATCTTCAGTGTGTGTGCTTTCTTTGCTAATCTGGAGACGGTCATAGACAATTGCAGGCTTACAGCTGCAATGAGAAAGCCTTGAGCTGCTGCTTATTGTGCTTCTTGCATCTCTGCTGGAGAGACCAGCTGCATTTCTGGGCTAGGAGTCTCTCTCT